GCTAATGCTGTCCCACTTCAGAAAGTCTTCTTTGATCCCTGTCCTCACCATTACCACCTACAGGTTTGGATGATGTTCTTTTCTCGTATGTTTCCACACCTAGCAATTATTACACTACTGTAATTGTTTGTTTAGGTGTCCATAGCCACTTAGCCAGGGACCAAACCTTACTTATCTTTGGATAAGCATCATTTATCTCACTAGTTGGAACACAAGTGCTTGTTATTTTAAAATTCAAAACTTGTAGGAAAATAAAGTACAACTTAAAAAAACTGTATAACTCTCTTAAAGATAGTGAATTAGTATCAAAATCCATTTAAAAGTCCATCAATAAAATGACAAAAATGAAAAGGCAAATTCAGTGGTTCTTACTGAAAAAATTTCAATGATGTTACTACGACTTAAAAGGCAAAGATATGTTGTATTAGGTTGGATACTTTTATAAGTGGCTGTGAAAACCAGTTGCTCCCCCTTTATTAGAATTACTTGGAAAATATAGTGTCATTTGAGTTCAAGGAGAACATGTTAACTGAGTTTGGTAAATCCTGTTCTCTTTTATTTAGAGAAATATCTGAATGAAATGCAAGTTGACTCTTAAGTGCATTAGCTATAATTAGCTTTACTGCATTTTTCAGGAACATGGGGTACAGTTTAGAAGCCTTCTGCAGATATTTTCAAGAGTCCCTGAATAAAAGTTTAAGGACACATATGGTTTATCTTTGAACAAAAGGGTTTTAAACTGCAGGGGTCCACTTATACATGGATTTGTTTTCAGTAGTAAATACTGCAGTTAGTACAGGAACTGCAGTTGGTGGGATCCATGGAAGCCAAGTCTTGGATTTGGAGGAACCATGCATATGGAGGAACCCCAAATGTGGAGGGCCTACTCCAAGTTATACACAGCTTTCTACTGCACCAGGGGGTCAGCACCCCTAACCCCTGTTGTCGTTCAAGGGTCAATTAGATGTATTTTTAAGTAAGAAAATCTGACATTACCAATATTTGATATAGTGAAGGAAATGTTTATTTGGCTAAGCAGAATATCCTACAGCTGCATCTGGGGAAAGGTCTTGTTTTAGAGGTGATCAGACAGCAGCTGTATGAACCTTCCCTGGAGTCTACTCCATTTTTTGTCCACTTAGAAAGTCTTAGCCTAATTCATGGCAAGACTTTAGGGACCCCAAACTTGTATGCAAGCAAAACTTTGTGTAAGGGTGAATTTTTGTCAAGAAAGGGCTCATAACTTTTTCTTTTTTTTTTTTTTTTTTTTTGCATATGTGGTACTATCGATGAACCAACACGGGCACATTATTGTCAACCAAAGTCCATAGTTTACATTAGGGTTCACTCTTGATGTTGTACATTCTATGGGTTTTGACAAATGCATAATGGCATGCAGCCACCACTATAGTATCATACAGAATAATTTCATTGCCCTAAAAATCCCTTGTGCTCCATCTATTCATTTCACCCCTCCCTCCCGCTCCCCCAACAAGCCACTGGAAACCACCATCTAAGAAAGGGTCCATAGCTTTTATCAGACGTGACCTAAGAAAATTTAAGAGCCATTGGTTTAGGTACTTAACCCACTGTGCTTGCTTGAGGGTGTAAAGTGGAGGGGGCAGGAGAGTGAGTATTAATTGTGGCTTTAAGACTAAATTTTGATACAACTCACAGTAACATGTCATTGGCATCATGACATACGTATAATTGATACAGAAATTTATACAGCATATTAATACTTATAAAGTATGTTGCATTCTTACCATTTTCTACTTTATTTAAATTGTTTCTGTAGGTACTCAGATGTTTGTTGAATGAAAGATACTTTAAATGCTGTAGTGCTTTACAATTTTCAAAAGTTTCACACACATGATTTCATATAATCCCATAATAACCCTTTTTTCCCCTCCTACCCCTAAATTGCCCCACCCTCCTTCCCTCTCTCCACTGGTAACCACTAGTTTGTTCTCTGTATCTATGTCTGCTTCTTTTTTATTTTATTTACTAGCTTGTTATATTTTTTTAGATTCCACATATACGTAATAGCATATGGTATTTGTCTTGCCCTGTCTGACTGACTTCAACTTAGCATAATGCCCTCCAGATCCATCCATGTTGCTGCAAATGGCAAAAATTCCATTCCTTCTTTATGGCCGAGTAGTATTCCATTGTGTGTGTGTGTGTGTGTGTGTGTGTGTGTGTGTGTGTGTGTACACACCATATCTTCTTTATCCACTCATCTGTTGATGGACATTGCTTCCGTACCTTGGTAATTGTAAATAATGTGGCTGTGAACATTGGGTACATGTATCTTTTCAAATTAATGTTTTTGTTTTTTTCAGGTATGTACCTAGGAGTGGCATTGCTGGGTCATATGGTAGTTCTGTTTTTAGTTTTTTAGAAACTGTCCATACTGTTTTCCACAGTGGCTGCACCAATTTATATTCCAACCAACACTGTATGAGGGGGTTTCTTTTCTCCAACATTTGTTATTTATGTTCTTGATAATAGCCTTCCTGACAGGTGTGTGGTATATATCTCATAGTGGTTTTGATTTGCATTTCCCTGATGATTAGCAATGGATGTTGAGTATCTTTTCATGTGCCTATTGGCTATCTGCATTTCCTCTTTGGAAAAATGTCTGTTCATTTCTTCTGCCCATCTTTTAAGTGGGTTGTTTGTTTTTTTGATGTTGAATTGTATTAGTTGTTTATGTATGTTGGATAATAACCCCTTATTGGTCATATCATTTACAAATATTTTCTTTCATACAGTAGGTTGTCTTTTCATTTTGTTGATGATTTCCTTTGCTGTGCAGAAAGCTTTTAAGTTCAGTTAGGTCCCATTTGTTTACTTTTGCTTTTATTTCTTTTGCTTTAGGAGATAGATCCTAGAAAACATCACTGCAATTTATGTCAAAGAGTGTTCTGCCTATGTTTTCCTCTAGGAGTTTTATAGTATCTGGTCTTACATTTAAATCTTTTATTTTTGAATGTGGTATTACAGAATGTTAGAGATGCCACCAGAAAACTATTAGTCAATTATTCTGAATTCAGTAAAGTTGCAGGATACAAAATTAACATATAGAAATCTATTGCATTTCTATACACTAACAACAAAATATCAGAAAGAGAAATTGCATCAAAAAGAATAAAATACCTAGGAATAAACCTACCTATGGAGGTAAAAGACCTGTACTTGAAAACTATAAGACACTGATGAAAGAAATTGAAGATGACACAAACAGGAAGAAAGATATATATACTGTGTTCTTGGATTGGAAGAATGAATGTTTCAAAATGATTGTACTACCCGAGGGACTCTGCAGGTTTGGTGCAATCCCTATTAAAATACCAATGATATTTTTCATAGAACTAGAATGGATAATTTTAAAATTTGTATGGAAGCACAAGAGACCCTGAGTAGCCAAGGCAATCTTAAAGAAAAACATAGCTGGATAAAAACACTCCCTAACTTCAGATTATACTATGAAGTTATAGTAATCGAGACAGTATGGTACTGGCACAAAAACAGACACATAGATCAATGGTACAGAAGAGAGAGCCCAGAAATAAACCCCACACACTTATGGTCAGTTAATCTATGACAAAGGAGGCAAGAATATACAATAAAGAAAAGAGTCTCTTCAATAAATGGTGATGGGAAAACTGGACAACTATACATTAAAGAATGAAATTAGAATATTCTCTATTTATCTTTTAATATGTTGGTTGTAACCCACTGAATTGATTTCTTAATATTCTGCTTGTTGGTAACCCATAGTTTGAAAAACACTGGTCTAGCGCATCATAGTTTACAAAACCCTTTCATGTATTCTCAGACCTCCCAGCAGTCCCATGAGGTATATATGACCTCTTTTTAGTTTTACAGATGAAGTGACTCTTTTTAGTTTTACAGTGACATTAAGTGACTTGTTCAAGGTTGTGCTGCCAATACTTGGCAGAGTCAGAGTGTGATCTTGGTCCTAGGTTTTAACTCCAGCTCCACTGGCATCTTTGGTTACATCCCATCCGGACTACTTACTTTTTCCTTCCTCTTCTCCCTTCACTACCACAGTTGAAGGGAATAATACTAGTTCAGACTGTACAGTTGGGTAAATCCTAATTTGCCAGTTGGCATACCTGCACTGTGTCCAGCCCTATTGCTTGTCACTTGGGGTCCTCTCTTAGAAATTCTGGATTTCCCTATCTGTGTAAAGAGATTCTTCCCTTCTGTTTTCTTCTCCACCCTAGACCAATGGTTTTCAAGCCTGGATTTATGAGAGGTTCAATCAATTGTCGAACTTAATATTCAGACTTCTGGGTCTCTAGGAGATGGATTCTGATTCAGAAGATCTGGGATGGAGGTTAGATATGTTTTTTAAAAAGCTCCACAGGTGATTGTTACACATAGCCAAAATAAAGAATGTCTACTCTGAGTACATTAAAATTGCTGAGCACATGAGGATACCCAGGATTTGGGAAGTAGCTAAGAGATTCCTTGGTCCCTTAGAGTTTAGGAACTTTAATAATGAGAGATTTGTCCTCTCCCTGGCTCCCAACCCTTGTGGGTGGGTATAACCATTTGGAAACATAATCAGAGCCTGACTGAGTTGTAGAGAATCTGGTGGTTCTCTTCTCCCCATTGCCTCCTTTTTTGATGAAATATTGGAAATCATAAGGTTAGAGTGTGTGCATCAAAGTATGCAATTGGAAAATGCACCTTGTAAAATGGTAAGCTTGGGTCGTTGTTTAATGCTTTCATGAATAATAAAGTCTTTGTAATAACAAAGTCTTTTGATTTACAGATTAAAACAAGTAATAGTTAAACAACTGAACTTGAAGTATACTTCAAGTTAAATAGTATGTTTGACTAGAAAAATGATATTTTGAGTATAATTAGTTTCACACTATGGTGAGAAAAACCAGGAACTGATAAAATTTGGGTTTCTTAAAAAAAGAGCATAATACTTCACATTTCTCTCTTTCTCTCTTTAGTTCTTTTTGGAGGTGGATATCTGCTCAGACGATAAGAATTATAAGAGGTCAGTCACAAATAATGCTCTTTACAATGTGATAAAAATTTTATGTTCATGTGCTATAATGATAAACTGTAGACTTTTATGTTTCAAAGGCACCTTCCCCAAAAGAATACAGGCAGATTGAGGGGGAAAACCCTGAAGTTGGGTGTGTCTGTCGGTGGTAGTATTCCACCACCTTTCCTCTGCGATTCGGAACTGGAATCAGTGGGAATGGGATGGGCCGTGGAGTAGCTTCTAGAGTGTCTGGACAGCTACTCAGTGATTTTCCACACTTGACCTCTCTCTCCTGCGGTTTGTAGGCTTGTGCCTGGGAATGGCACACAGTAGAGCTGCCGGTGGTGGGCAGGCTCCTAAACTTTTGACACGAGCTGCTTTCACTCTCTGCAACCCTTTAGGGAAGGCTGTCTTCGTGTTCTTCTTAGCTAGGAAAGAACAATTTGAAGTCGACCTCATGGAGCCTTTCATTTATTCGTTAAAACTTCCTTTTTCTTCTCCCCCAGAATCTGAGAATTGCTCCTCTCTCAAGGACTTTTTTTGTTGTGGTTATCTAATTTTGGTCAGACTGTAAGCTAGAATCTGTCCCTGAGTGCCTTACTTAGTTCTTTTATGAAGAAGGCAGCTATTTTATATTCTGTGTTAGTTAAGATAGAATTTGGAACTTTTTTTTTAATCTGTTATTTTTAAACTTGATTATTCACTGCTCTAAAATGTGAAAGAGGCAGCCTTTTTGCTGCTCTACCTTTTGATGGTCTTCAAAGTGGTCAGTCTGCTAGAACTTTTCCCTCCTCCCTTCCCTCCCTTTTTTTCCTTTTTTTTTCTCTTTTTAAACGATTTGGTTTTCTTTGAAAGCTCTGCAAATGAACCTCGTTATAAAATTTGGAGACATTAGAAAAATTTTTTTAAAGAAACCTTATATTGCAAGGGAGAAATGGATAGTGAACTTAGACATCAGGTTTTTCCTGTTGCATGATACTTTTATATTTGATTCTGGTTTTAAAAATGAAAGTTAGCTTAAGTAATCTCCAACTCACTTTTAGGAAATGTCTGTAGGTATTTTTTTATTTTATTTTTTTTTAGCATTCCTGGCAATTTGTTATTACTGTTTCCTTCTTCTAGTGTAGTGGTTCTCAAACTTTAGGACTTGTTAAAATATAGATGACGGTGTCCTATCCTGTAGATTCTGATACAGTTAGCTAGTCTGTGGTAGGGCTAAGAATTTGTACTTTTAATAGTTCCCAGGTGATGCGGTGGCTGCAGCTGTGGCTGCTAGCCTGGCAACCACTTTGAGAATCACTACTCCAGCATTTACAGGTACCATTTTGTTTTCATAAATGAGTAAGGTCTGATTCACAGATTATGCAAAAACAATGGTGCATGTGTGATTTTTGATATATTTAGTGATGATGCTCAATCATTTAAAATTGACGTTTTGTTAATCCAGTGTCAAAGAACAGTACTCTTTACCTACTTCTATATACATCAAAGTGGTTTACAGCATGTAAAATTATTAATAATAAGTTTTTTATTTGTTGATATACCTTCTCTTAGAGCACCTCAGCATCAGGACTGGGAATCATCCCTCTGAATTAAAATTGTTGGTCAGGCTACAAGCTGTTTAATACCGATTTATTATATTGTTTTGACTTCTTTAAATAGGATTTTTGGAATGACAGAATAAATATTGTTTTATTTAGCTTTGGTTCTTATTGTTGTTGTGAACTTTGAACTATGCTTTGGTCTTTGTTGATTTGTTTACTAGTGGTTGGCAACATCTGATCCTGACTAGTAAGGCCCTATAGCTAGGAAACTGGTCCTTAATTGAGATAATACCTCCATTATTTTAATTATAGATTTAAAATTTGACAGTAGATACAATTTCTCCCTATCAATGTCAGCAGTCAGCATGTTAGAGCCAAAAATAGACATTTTGGGGTGAATTTTTAACAGATATAATTTAAGAAAAAGTCATGGGGCTAATTAATTAAAAAAATACTCATTTGGAATTTGCTTTAAAGCAGACTATGTACATCTGTGTGTGTAGTATATGTATATACACATTTCATTTGTTTTGTATATGTATATACACGTGTAAATATATTTTATGTGTATATATACATATATTTGCTTGTGTAAAATTGATAACCTCTCACAGTGTAGTGTTTGGAACCAGATGATAGCTGGGTACTTTAAACACCAAGTTCCTTAGCCTGTATTCTCCCCAATATTAACGACTGAAATTACAGTATCACAACAGGCAGCTTTCACCCACGGCAAAGATTTCTCCGTTGATCATTATTATCTCTTGAACGTCACCATATGGATAGAGATTGGGAATGGCTTATAGTTTTTAGAGACAGTGTTCTTTGAGGAAAAGGAAACTGGCTTTAATTTTTTAGGCATAGTTCCCATGATCTGGATTTTCTTCTCTTTTAAAAAACAAAATCCTTGAGAAAGAATATCCAAGTAAACTAGTTCTCAAACTCTGCCTTGCTTCCAAGTGCCAGCTGTGGTGTGTTAGGTATAACCTGTGGCTATCCTCAGATGTAGGTTATTATCCATAACGTGTTTTTCTCACTTCTCATTTCCTCCCCAGCTCTGAGAGCTCGTTTTGAAGGAATAATGGATGAACCGTCTCCCTTGGCCAAACCTCTGGAGCTGAACCAGCACTCCCGATTCATAATTGGTTCTGTGTCTGAAGACAACTCAGAGGATGAGATTAGCAACCTAGTGAAGCTGGAGCTACTGGAGGAAAAGGAGGGCTCTCTGTCACCAGCCTCTGTCAGCTCAGATACACTCTCTGACTTGGGGATCTCTAGCCTGCAGGATGGCTTGGCCTTACACATGAGGTAAGTCCGAGAAGGTGAATGTTTCACTTATTTAACCTGTCCTGTTGGTTTCACTCATCTTGTTTTAAAAAGAGCAAGAATAATCTGAGCCAGGATTGTTTCACCTTTTCCTGTATCACTGGCCTTAAAACTTGGATGAGTAAGTGGGAAATGACCTGTTTTGCCTGGAGTGCAGGTTTTGAAAGTGTCTTTTCCTAAATGTTTCTCTCAACTTTTTCCTGTTCTTCCTACATTGCTAGTGAGACCCAGTGAGTGAGAGTTAGGTTGAGGAATTTGTCTCCGTCCTACTTTGATTGACGTTGCTGTAATTGTCCTGATGATGGATAGGACTGTTGCAGGGATGGGCAAGTTTGTAGTCATCTTTCTTTGAACTGCTTTATCATGTTAGGAAGTTATAGTCTGGTTCTGGCAGGGCCACTCGTGACTGAGGAACACAGGGTTGTTGTAGAGCTCGCCTCTTTTCCTCTAGAAACTCAATTCACTACATGTAATTGAGAATGTCAGCAAGTAGTAACACTGGATTATTCTTATTTACTGATGTTTGTGAACCTCTGGTCATTTGCTTTGCATTTCTCGGATTAAAGGGTCTGGATTAGTGATTCTTGGTTTTCACTGTATGTCAGAATCATCTGGGGAGCCTTAAGAAATGAGCTCCATCCCCAGAGATTCTGATTCATTTCATACTGGCTTGGCTTGGAGCTGGAGTTTTTTTTTTTTTTTTTTTTTTAATGTAAGCTATTTGAGTGATTCTAATATACACCCAGGCTTGAGATTATAGGTTTAGCCTAGATAAACATCAATTAGGGTGGCTATTGTTGCTGTTATTATCTTGGTGCTTCTATTATTCATGGATCATAAAATAATTCAACTCCTTTTTATGCACTTAAGATATAGATTCTGTAGTAAAATCCTATGCGGGGTCTTGTGTAGGCAGCAGTGACAGCTGCTTGTGTTCGTGGGGCAACTTGCTGGGACCTGGGTGGGCAGTAAGGACCTTGTGCTCTGAGCGTTGGGATTGTGGGTTCTGATCATGGAGGGGCCAGCATAGAGGTTGGCGCCCTGGGCTGAAGTGGCTTCCAGGGGATTTAAAGAGACATGCTGTCCCCCATTTGGGGAGCCAGACGCTTAAGGAAATCTTTGTCAGGTCACTGACTGACTGCAGAGATAAAGGAACAGAAACTTCAGTGACCACACACGAGGAATACACACTGCAGAATAGGTTGGAAAAGTCACAAGAGAACTCAGCAGCAACTCTCAACAACGACAAGAGATCCCTGAGGAGTGAGAGAACTAAACTTCGAACGTTACATAATGCTCAAAATGTCCAGTTCTCAGGAAACTTACAAAACACACAAAGAAACAGGAAAATGTGGCACAGTCACAGAAAAAAAGAGTTTGACAGAAAACATTCCTGAGGAAACCTGGACATTGGAAATACTAGTCAAAGATGTTAAGTCATCTGTCTTAAATATGTTCCAAGAGCTAAAGGAAACCATAGAGAAAGAACTAAAGGAAACTAGAAAAATGATTGTATGAAAAAAATGAGAGTATAAATAAAGAGATAGAGGTTGTAAAAAAGGAACCAATACTTGGAAGCAACCAAGATGCCCTTCAATAGGTGAATGGATAAGTAAACTGTGATGCCTCCAAACAATGGAGTTTATTCAGCACTAAAAAGAAATGAATTATCAGGCCATCAAAAGACGTGGAAGAACCTTACATGCATATTACTAACTGAAAAAAGCAAAGCTAAAAAGACTACATACTGTATGATTCCAGCTATATGACATTCTGAGAAACACAAAACTCTGGAGACAGTAGAAAGATCAGTGGTTGCCAGTGGTTTGGGGGGAGGAAAAGCTAAAGGTGGAGCACAGCGGGTTATATAGAGCTGTGAAACTATTCTGTGTGATACCATCTTGGTGGATAAATGAATGTCATTTAGAGATTTGTCAAATCCCATAGAAAGTACAGCACCAAGAGTGAACACTAATGTAAACTGTGGACTTCGGGTGATAATGATGTGGTTTGTTTTTTTTTTTAAATTGAAGTATAGTCATTTATAATGTGTCATTTCTGGTGTACAGCTTAATGTCGCAGTCATACATATATATACATATATTCGTTTTCATATTCTTTTTCATTACAGGTTATTACAAGATATTGAATATAGTTCCCTGTGCTGGCAGAAGAAATTTGTTTTTTACTTATTTTTATATATAGTGGTTGACCTTTGCAAATCTCAGACTCCCAGATTTATCCCTTCCTACCTCCTTTCCCCTGGTAACCATAAAATTGTTTACTATGTATGCGAGTTTGTTTCTGTTTTGTAAATGAGTTCATTAGTGTCCTGTTTTTTTTTTTTGGATTCCTTATATGAGGGATAACATGGTATGTTTTTTTTTCTCTTACTTCACTCAGAATGATGTTCTCCAGGTCCTTCTATATTGCTGCAAATGGCATTATTTTATTCTTTTTTATGGCAGAGTAGTATTCCATTGTATATATATACACCACAACTTCTTTATCCAGTCATCTGTCGATGGACATTTATGTTGCTTCCATGTCTTGGCTATTGTGAATACTGCTGCTATGAACCTTTTCATTTTTTATTGGTCATTTGTATGTCTTCATTGGAGAATTGCTTGTTTAGGTCTTCTGCCCATTTTTGGATTCAGTTGGTTTTTTTGTTATTAAGTTGTATGAGCTGTTTGTATATTGTGGAAATTAGACCTTTGTCAGTCCCATCCTTTGCAAGTATTTTCTCCCATTCTGTAGGTTGTTGTTTTGTTTTACTTATGGTTTCCTTTGCTGTACAAAGGCTTATGAGTTTATTAGGTCCATTTGTTTATTTTTGCTTTTATTTGTATTGCCTAGGTGGACTGCCCTAGAAGAACATTGCTAAAATTTATCTCAGAGAATGTTTTGCCTATGTTTTCTTCTAGGAGGTTTATCATGTCTTGTCTTATATTCAAGTCTTTAAGCCATTTTGAGTTTATTCTTGTGTATTGTATGAGGGAGTGTTCTAACTTCATTGATTCACATGCTGCTGTCCAGTTTTCCCAGCACCACTTGCTGAATGTCTTTTCTCCATTGTATATTCCTGCCTCCTTTGTCAAAGATTAATTGACCATAGGTCCGTGGGTTAATTTCTGGGCTCTCTATTCTGTTCCATTGATCCATATGTCTGTTTTTATGCCAATACGACACTGTTTTGATTACTGTAGCTCTGTAGTATTGTGTGAAGTCTGGGAGGGTTATTTCTTCAGCTTCATTCTTTTTCTTCAGGATTGCTTTGGCAATTCTGGGTCTTTTGTGGGTCCATATAAATTTTAGGATGATTTGTTCTAGTTTTGTGAAAAATGTCCTGGATAATTTGATAGGGATTGCATTAAATCTGTAGATTGCCTTGGGAAGTATGGCCAAATAATGATGCATTAATGTAGGTTACTCAGTTGTGACGGATGTTCCACTTTAGTGCAGATTGTTGACAGGGAGGCTGTGCGTGTGTAGGGGTGGGGAGTATATGGGAACTCTGTAATTTCCATTCAATATTTCCGTGAACCCAAAACCACTCTAAAAATAGTCCATTAAAAATGGAAATAAACAAACGAACAAAATCCTATAGTGAATCTGGCTGAATGCAAATGTCCTGCCTTACGGTTATCCCTGAGGGTTTGGTGTCCTTGCTTCTGAAAGATGTAGCAAGTGTGGATGGTCCCCTGTTTGCTATGTGGAGGTTGAAAGTAGAGTTAAGCAAGCTAATTATGTTTTACTTCACAGGTTCCTAGAACTGCAGTGAGCCAGAGAGATAATTTAGCCTAATGCCTTTTACTTAAATAGATTACAAAATTGAGGCCTGAAGAGGGAAAGTAATTTACCTGAGGATGAATAGCTAGGAAACTGGATTTCAAAGTTAGAGGCCCTGATTCCATTTCAGTAACTTTTCTACTCTACTTCCTTGGCCATACAAGTGTTTTAATTATATAACTAGTTCAGATGAAGGTGGTTTTAAGGATTTAGTAATAAAGTATTGTATCTAATCTCTGGGTTGAAAAAACAGGAATAGAGGTCAGTATTTAGTGGCAGGGAGAAAGAGGTCAGGTCTTTGTCTTTATGTAAACATTTTTTTCTTACTTAATAGTTCACTTAATGGTTGACCTGAAGGCTAATACTAGTGGTGGTATCTTCCTCCTTGTGGTCATTTGGAAATGTGTGAGGGTTGTGACTGGTGGGATTACTTGCTTTTAGAGGACAGGGGACCGAAAATTCTAAACCTTCTGCAGTACTGGATAATCACACACAACCAACTGAGAATTGTTGTTACAGTGTCACAGTTTCTCACCTTTTTGAGAAAGACTGGGTGAGCTCTAAATTCTTAACGCTACATAGCGCCTTGAGAAATTTGTCCAATTTGAGGTCAAGTGAAACAGATGACCCATTCATTGGATTAGGAAATTGTGAGTTTGGCAATGGTGAAATAAATACCATTGTGAGAAACTCAGCAGATATTACAAGGCGGCCTATCGTTGCCAAATCATTCCCAAAGCTGATGGCTGTTATTGCAAAGTCTATAAGGTCAGTGGTATGAGTGCCTGAGAATTTCTTTGCATGCCCTATTGCTGCAAAACTCATGCCCGTAGCTCGTGGAGGAACCATGGATTAAAGTGTGATCAGCAGCCTGGGAAGGAGACAGTGCCAGCTCCTATTTGCTTCTCAGATAGCTGATGTTCCAAAATAGAACAAAGGTTTTCCGTCGATTTATTTCTTAAGTCACTTGGGGATATGGTATCCTTGTGGATAATTTAAATTGATCCAAATTCATTTTATATATTAGAAAGAAATCTGTTCTGACATCTGCCACCAATTAAGTATGTGAGCACGAACAATTCATGTTCCTTCTTTGGACTCATTTTCCTCATCTGTGAAAATGATGATACTGGTTCCAATACCCCCTTTCACTCCTTGAACCCAAAGTTAAATAGAGACCCACTGAATTT